CATTAATTGTTTTGTGCATTTATGCATAGAGTGGCATTTATGTGTGAGAAAAGTTTGTAATCATTAACCTTACATTAGTGACTGTTTATCTCAGGTTCATCCCTGACTATAAAGATTTCTATGTTAACTCTAATACATTTTAAAAAGATGCCCCTTTGGGAAGAAATTCGGACTTCTAGAATTTTAGTCCAAAGTATTTTTTCCAGATGAGTTAAATAGAATAACCAGATCATTCTTATTCTTGCTCTTTTGAACATCATTCATATCTGCTTATTATTAAAAAGAGAGAGAGAAGAAAACCATAACACCATCTCACAAGTTACCTTGGTTTCACAAAATCATCTTTTATGATTTATGCAAATTTCTTATGAGGCCTGTGAATTGAAGAGCGACCTATCTTGCCAAGACTTTTGATTTCAGCAGCGATTGTATGAAGCTGCTGTTGAATGTAACAATAATAGTAGTTGTTGTTCAGCCCGATGAAAAAACGATTCATATTCTAAATGAAAAACATGAAGATAATCTGACAGAAAAGCACCTGCAGACATGGTCCTGTCTCCTTTTATTTCTTCTGTTTTCTACAGAGGATCTGAGTGTTCATTTAAAGTGCCTTAGCAGGATGTCCCAGTTCAAGCTCGGCTATTTACAGTTCACTTCTGCCCCGGGGCAGGTAGAGGCAGATTACAGGATAAGCAAGGTGACTCGCAGGAAAGAGGAGGAGGATTATTCATGTTGAAATAAATCTGGGTAGTGACATGTCTGCAATAGTACCATGGGTTAGTAATTTAACAAGAATTCATGTTCACAAATCTGTAGTTCTTATCAATTCTTTACTGTAAATGGAACTAAAATTTACAGAGAGGGAATAAGGAGGATGCACAGAGATCTACATGGCAGTATTAAAAAATCTTCTCCCAGCACAAAGACATTTAATCCTTGTTTGTCAAAACTGTTCTGTCTGCATGAAAAGTTGGCCCAGGGCCCCAGGGCTTCAGGGTAAGGAGGGAGAAGGAAGTAGCAGAAGAGGAGGCAGCTGCCATTTGGGCTGTTGGACCTGAGCATTTCTTTTCTTACCCAAGTACTCGGCCTTTTGCTCTGCCTCTCGTGCTGCAGGTCTGGGTAGGTGTCCTGAGCAGCTTTATTCATTCATTGTAAGAAGTGCTTGCTTTGTGCTCTCACGGTGTGGAGAAGGAGCTGCCCACACACTTACCTGTTGGCTTTTGTTCCGCACCGTGGCTCTTGTAGGAGAGTCAGGTGTTCCCAGTCGGCTTGCCCTTCGTAGTCCCTGGGCTTCGGGGCGCATGTGCCCCTGAAATGCTCTGCTTTCTGGAATCCGAGTATTTCCGTCAAGTTGGTTTCTTTCTTGGTAAATTCCATTTTGACTTAAGAGAAGAAGCAGATTGAAAAGTTTTCCTTAAAATCCTGATTTAAAATATAAGTACCTTCCTTCTGTTGATCTTGTTTCAAATACCTGGCCCTGGAGGAGAGCCAAGCACGAGCAAAGCGACGAGCCACGTGGGAAATCCACCGAGAACACAGTCACGTTTCCAGTTGGAAACATAATGAACTGATGACGCGTTAGATACTCCTGAACAGATTTGGGGAATTCTGAATTAAGCACCATATTGACAAGGATCAGAACTTGACTTTTACTGAGCGGCATAGTGAAAGCAAGCATAAGACTGTTTCAAATAGTATCTGAGGTGCTTAGTTTACAAGTTTAGAAAATTAATCCTATATTAATTAAAGCACACTTAAATAGAAAAATTCTAAAACCTTGTGAGTAGAGAAGCAGAAACCCTTCCCGGCTCCTCACTCTGACCTCCGTTCTCACTTTGCTTCCCCTCTCCTCGCGTGTGTGTACACGCGCGCTTTCAAATAGGTATCTTTGGTTTTTGTGTGTATCTTCATGTAATATTATTATTACTATTATTATAGTAAATGTCCTCACGCAAGGACATTTTTACACTTATCTTCAGATAGAGCGGGAGGGAGAGAGGGGGGAAGAGAGAGAGAAACATCGATGTGAGAGAGACACATCGAGTGGCCGCCACCCACACGACCCCAACCACGGCCGGGGACAAACTGCAACCGAGGTACGTGCCCTTAGCAGGAACCGAACCCGGGACTCTCTGGTCCACGGGCCGACGCTCTAACCACTGAGCCAAACCGGCCAGGGCTCTTCATGTAATTTAGATTTACATATAGGATATGAGTATATTAAGATATTTCATTTCGCTGCTTCTTTAGTCGCGATCCAGGGACTCCAAGCACTGCCTAGTACTTCAGGGTAGACATCCATAATATTTAACTGTTCGGTCTCCAGTAGTAGTTATACGTCATCCTGCTGCAGTTACTGCAAACGCAAGCTCAAGATTTGAAATGATAACATTACATTTCAGTTTTTAAATTGGGTTTCTCATGTCAATTTGGAGTTTCAGCGCTGCACTGAAAAGTTTTAGTAACAATGTGTTTTAGTAACAACATGTAAGCAATCAACTAAACTAAAATATGGAGTTTGTATGGACAGATACACCCCAGAGAAATGTTCATTTGTTCGAACCTAGAGAAACTTCACTTATTCAGCATTGTTCCATGGATGCCGTACCTGCCCTGGTGATTTTTTCAGGAAAACATGAAATGTAACTCAGAAGTCAGCCCTCACACCTGTCATCTTTGTGATCCAGTTCCAGGAAAATATTGCAATAAACCACCTTGCTATGTAGTAGTTCAGGTTACATGTGGAGCTCTGAGCCTTCAGAGCAAACATGTGTAAACTTGGCCGGTGCCTTTGACGTCAGTGATGAGATGGATGGCAGATCCGGCAGAAGCCAGAGAACCAGTCTGTGTCCTATGAAAGTTTACAAGTTAGACACATGGCACTATAAACCTTATGTCACTGAAACTCTGTTCCAGCCCCTAGGTGAGGAAACCCCATCACCATACCAAGTTCATTCAGAAGTTCATTTGACACCCGTCTAAGCACTCCTTCCCACGTTCCAAGGCCGTGCTCGCCCGACCCCACGACTGTCCACTGATAATGTGAGAGCAGGTGCTTACACTCTCTAGGCCAAGGTCCACATCCTTGCTGTGTCCCTTAGCTGGGTGGCCTTGAGTATGTTCCCTAACTTCTCTCTTCCTTTTCAATTGCCTGGCCTATAAAACAGGTGCAGCGCTTCATGTGTTTGTGTGCAAATTAAATGAGATGATGTGTGTAAAACACTTGGAAGCAAGGGAGGCACACAGTGAGCACTTGTTAAATGTCGTCATTGAATCCACTATATCTCTTCCTCTCCCCCAGGCCCTCCCACAAACGGTGTACAGCTTCAGCTTCCTGTTCCTTTCATACTGTTTCTCCACCTGGGTTATACTCTTCCTCACCTGTCTATCGAAATCCTGCCTGTTCTTGCCCTTTCCCCAGAGCGGTAGTCTTCAAGGTTTTCAACCCGTGTGTCGCAGAATTTTTAAAACGTGCAATACCTGACTAGTCAGAGGCACTGACTTCTTTTCCCTTAGATTGTCAAATAAAAAAAGACAACACAACAATAGCCATTCAGTGTGAATGAATCAAAATTATACCGATTAATTTCTTGTCAGATCAGCAAAAACTATATTTTTTGGTGTGCCACAGAATTTTAGTAATGAGTTATGTGTGCCATGAGATAGAAGGGGTTGGGGCTCGCTGCCCTAGAGCCCTGGCCTGGCAATTCCTCGGCGTCCCCTCCCCCTCCCCCGGGAGCGGCCCCGCCCTCCTGTTACTGCTCCACCTGTTTCACGTGTGTTCATCTTGTCTCCTAAAGGACACCTGAGGCTCTAGAGAGCAGAGGCCTTTCTTTTCGTATTCTTTTGCCCCATGAAAAAGAAAATCTCTTTGATGTTAATACCCGGAATAGTTGTGTGTATGGTTTTTTTTTTTAACTGTTGGTTTAGTTTTGAGCTTAGAAACACCAAATCTGATATCTGCTTGTGTTTCTGCTTCCCTCTCTGCATTGACTGTTCGAGAGCTCGGGGCCAGGGCTGAGGTTCCCATTTAGGCGCCTGCACTTCATGGGAGGGGCTTTTTGTGTACAAATCTCACCCCATCTTCATATGATTAATTTTTTTAACATTTATTTATGACCCTGCCTTGTCCACATTTTAAACCCTGTTATCTTGTCTTTATTTTGTAAGCATCGTACATCCTTTTGGGAGCTAAGTAGGACACAGAAAGAACATATTTTAGTTTGAAGCAACACAGAGGGAAGGCAGGAGCAGAACTGTCGAAGACAGACAGAGGTCAAAGCCACTCCACGACTTACCCTCGCAGTGGCCTTGGCCAGTTATCTCCACTCTGCCCGTCTGTTTCCTGCCCGACTAAGGAAACAGTGAACCTCCTCATGGGGTAGTTGTGCTGCTCAAATGAGATCAGGTGTGCGAGGTGCCAAACACCGGACCTGGGTCTGGATGCTGCCCTTTTAGGTGTTAGTTCCACCCTGTATCTTCCGGTGTGTCTTTAAAAAGTAAGCTATCGTGGTAAATAGATATTTCTCTATTAATAGTTATGTAATTGATATCAAACACCATATGTATGTTGAGTAATTGTTGATCAGTTCTAGCACTTCTGGGAAGAGGACTCAAGCACCCGTGAGTGTGCTTAATGAGTGACCACCCAGCTCTCTCCGTAGGTATCTGGGAAATTATGCTCATTCTTGTCTTTGTAAAACCACCTAACAGGCAGAAGGCACCACGTATGAAGATGTGGCTGGATCTTAAGATACTGATTAGAGTGGATTTTTTTTTCTCTTAGTGATAAACAATTTCTAATCAGTAATATCACTTAAGAATGCTGGATTCCTGGGTGTCGAGGGGTTAAAATTTGGTCTGACAAAGGCCCCCTGGTGCCCACCACTTGCTATCTGGAGGTCAGAATCCCCTCCGCTGGCCCTGCTGGGATTGGGACCCCACCTGTGGGCTGACCTGTGCCCCTGTCTGACCTCGCCTTGCCCTGCTTTCCCCACCAGCCCTGCAGCGGGTCCTGGGAAGCTGCGTCCTGTGGGAAGATGGAAGATCAGGTGACAGCCTCCGGTCCGGCTCGGAAATACGGGAACGCCTTCTCAGCGCGGACTCTGGTCATGTGACACGGTCCAGACAAGCATTATGGTTTTCAGAACACTTCACGTTGACTTAGGATTATTGTTCCTCTCCATGAAACTTTTCATGAGTGGGAGAAGAACCTATTTTTGTTGTGGTACAACAGTTAAGAGCAGCACCTAGTGCATTTTAGGTGGATGAAATCTCATCGGATTTCACCCAACTAAAAGGATTTTTAAAAAAAAATAAATAACAGTCTTACCTAAATTATTAGGTAATGAATTGTAGCCAGTTGTTAATATCTTAGTGCAGATGTTTTTTAAACATAAAGTGATTTATTTGTATTTTAGAAGATCCAACAGACCAGTATTTTTTCATGATGAGGTTTTTGAATTTTTATCCAGAAATGGTACTCCAATATTTCACTTGTCTCAATCACTAAACACAATGCATTACTATAAATGTTCGTTCAATACCATAGAATAATCAAGATTGTAAGTGCTCATTTATGGTTAATAACATTGGAGGTACATTTATTGTACGAAACCATCTTATGAGTTTTTTGTTAGCTTGCTTTAAAAATTATTACTGTATGAAATAGTTTTATAAAAAATTATATTTTTATTCAGTAATTTAATTTTGTAAATGCCAAATGAAAAAATGTGTTTTGCTGCTATGGTCTTAGCCTGTAGACATGCTGCTAGTTTGAGAGGCAGTAGAGCTTTGAACAGAAAGAACACAAACTTGGTGTTAGGTAATTGACTATGCACTAGTATTTCAAACTTTTTTATTTTATATATGTGTACTTTTTTTTTCCTCTTGTAATACATTGGAAAACTTATTTGGGAGATTTTTGCATTTGTTTTTGTCATTGTTTTTTGTTATTGTTGTTACTGTGGGTTTATAAGAGCAAGCATTGCACTTCTTTTTTGGGAGATCTATGTTGTTCATGTTCTATGTTTTGAGTTCAGCCTGACTATTCTTTAATTCAGGTGTTACGTGTTTGATCAGCATTCTCCATGGTTTTGAAGTCTCTGGTTTTGGAACTGCCTCATAGAACCTGTATTTGTAGCTGGAGTTGAAGGACTGGAGTTGGTAGACAGTTGTTGCCTTAACATTTGGTACCAGATCACTAGCACTGAACTTTTGATATGACCATGTACTTACTGCCTTCTAGTGAAATAAAGCTGTTCCCTTATTTTACTTACTTTTGACTTCTCTCTTACTCGTAGTTAGTGGATGTTAATTATACTTTTAAGAGACTGGAGTGAACTCAGAGTTCTCTCTTTTGTTAATTTGCACACCATCTGAACTTCACTTGAAGAAGCCAAGAATTATTACTTTGGAGAAAGAAGAACAAGAAAACCAAGTTCAGTAGTTCACAAAAATAATCATATGTGTAATGACATCTGGGAGGACTCTTCCAGTACCAGTCAGGATTCCAGCAGCATTCGAATTGGGATAATCCAAGGAGAGTTCATTTACAAGGGCACTGATGCTGCAGATATGAGCAAGGAGTAGGAGGACCACAAGTGTAGTGCACATCCTTGGGTACGGGCTTGAAGAACCTGCCTTGTGCAAGGGGAGAGTCATAAAACAAGAGTCCTTGAGAGGAGCCGTGACTTTGGAGACCTTACAGAGAAAGCCAACCGTAATCCTTAACTTTCCTCTGCCTAGCCCTCCCATCTCTGCCAAGGGCCCTCCTCATTGGCAGAATCAAACAAAGAGGGCAAGGGATCACCTGGATGTAAGGCAGCTGGCCAGCCTCCTGGGGCAGAGCCAGTGGATGTTTATCTGTTGGGGCAAGACAGTGTCACGGCCGAGTCATCCAGTCCAACTCCCTGTTTCACAGACGAACTTCCACTGGCTTCCATCTGTCAGCTCAGTGTTCTTTTCACTGTGCTACAATATCCCTTTCACATGGATGCCTTATAATTTCCTTTCGTCACTCTTTTCCAACCCAGACTTTGAATTCTCATCTACGTGATGCACTCGGGTGCTCCTGGAGCGAAGGATTTGCTACCTGTCATTACTCATCTTCAAGGCTGTGTAATATTCTTTGATCATATTACTGATAGATAATAATACACCATCCCAGTATTAGAAAGCTTTTAATATTCATGCACTTTCAAAGTATTTTCCAGGTGCTGAGTCTGCCACTTACTAGCAGTTTGAACTTGGACAAGTCACTAACCTCTCTGTGCCTTTTTTCTTCATCTGTGAAATGAGTTCATTTTTACAACGAAATCTTATTAAATAATGCACTATGCAAATGTTTGTTATTACATATGCCTTCCATAATGAAGTGGTGCATGTCATGTAGCACATCAAATGCTCATCTGGCTGATAATGTGCATTGCCAAGTACAGAGTTAAACTTGGGGTCATATTACAACTATTAAAATAAACTGATGGCAAGAGTGAGCTCAGCATTATGCAGAACTGAAATAAATATTTACTTTTTCACATATGTAACCCAATAACTAGAAACTAAAAACCTAAACTAATGAAAAGTAGTGTAAATGTTGGTTTTATGTACAAACACATTCATGTAATACCCATTTCACAAGCATCTCTAAAACATTTATTTGTCCTGGTCATTTTTTAAAATCCTCCTGCCTTCTACAGCAGAGATGCTGGTAGTAAAATAAATTGAAACAGTATTACTCATTGCTCAAAGGAAGGTTGTCCTTTTGAGTTACTGTGTGTGAAGCTTGTGTCCACAAGTGCACATCTGGAGAATAGGAGACTCGCTGAGAAGATTCTGAAGTAGCTCCCAGCCACTGAGAATCCAAGAAAAGAAATATGTGCAATGAAGAACTTTTTTTGCTTCTTTAGAAATCATGCCCTATTGGAACTGGAAAGGACCGTGGCCATCCTAAGAGGCTTCCATTCAAGGGCTCATCACATTGCTTTATTTGAAAGAAAATCCATTTTGGAGCCCAACCAGTCTTGGTTTAAATCCAGACTCTGCTCTTTAAGAGCTCTGTGACTTTTTATGACTTTTATTTAATCTTTCTAAGCTTCATTGTACTTATATTGGAGAGGAAAGTCCATCTCAAGGTTGTTGGGCACTGTGAAGGTTATGTGAGGTACTACAGGCATCCGTGCATCTTTGTCAAGTGCTGCAGTGCCTGTGGATTGGCCAAGTCACCGAGACTTACAGTCAGAGGGAAACCGTGTCTGTTACCTCTCAGCCAAGAGGTAGATACCACAGAGGCCCACGTCCCTGACGGTGTGTTCCATGTATTCTTTGTATGAAAATTAACTTTAAGTCTAAGTTATGACTTCTCAAAATATTCCTAATCGTTCTAATATATATATAAATATGTGAGAGCTATGAGGTATAGTTTTCCTTAAACTCGTTGGTTTCTTATTCAATAAAAAAAAAACCTGTCTAGTAGATAAAATGTGATGTGCATAAAATGTAAACTGCATTTAAAATACAAGTTTTGGTGCTAATTTTTCTTCTTTAACCATTGCTATTGTAAAATAAAGTCTTCCTTATTCACCTTTTTTTTTAATCCTCACCCCAGGATATTTTTCCATTGATTTTCAGACAGGTTGGGAGGGAGAACAGGAGAGAGAAACATCGATGTGAGAGAGACACATCGATTGGTTGTCGATTGGTTGTCTCCTGACCAGGGCCGGAGATCGAAGTGCAACCGAGGGTGGTGCCCTTTTTTTTTTTTTATCCTCACCCGAGGACATTTTTTCATTTTTTGCACAGATAGAGTGGGAGGGAGAGAGAGGAAGAGAGAGAGAGAGAGAGAGAAACATCGATGTGAAAGGGACACACCGAGTGGCTGCCACCCGCACGACCCAACCAGGGCCGGGGACAAACTGCAACCGAGGTACATGTCCTTAGCGGGAACCGAACCCGGGTCTCTCCGGACCGCAGGCCGACGCTCTAACCGCTGAACCAAACCGGCCAGGGCGAGGCTGGTGCCCTTTACTGGAATTGAACCCGTGACTCATTGGTCCTCAGGCCGATGCTCTAACCACTGAGCTAAACTGGCCAGGGCATTATCCACCATTTTTAGAGGGTAGTGTTGAGGAAAGTAACTCAGCTAAAATGCAAACCTCTTTTTTTATTAAATGTATTGGGGTGATATTGGTTAATAAAATTATATAGGTTTCAAGCATACCATTTTACAGTACAATCATCTGTATATTGCATTGTATACTCACCACCCAAAGTCAAATCTCCTGTCACCATATCTTTGACCCCCTTTCCCCTTTCCTACCTGCTCCCATCCCCTTTCCTTCAGGGAACCACCACACTAGAGTCTGTCTTATTTGTTTATTTGGCAACACCTTTTAAAAAGAACTTGCACAGCATTATACATAGTAACTTTGGGGACTGCAGCAAGAGGAACTTTATTAGTGTTTTTGGTATAAATAGGTAAGAATTCTTTTCATTAACATTCAATGCAAGTGTTCTTAATGTGAATGTGGAAATTGGAGACATTAATATTTGCCTCATGGACCACATTTCTTTTATTCAATTAGCATATGTTCAGCACCCACAGTGTGCGGAGTGCTATGTTTGAGGCTGGGGTAGAACTCGAACAACAGAGCTAAAAAGTCCTCGCCTCCTGTGAGCTTATGCTCAGCTGGCAGACACTACTGTCACAAGAGTTCACAGAGGCCAAGGAGAGCATCAGATCTAGAGTTGGGGAAGCACCGTGGGTTTCCCAAAGAACTGGCATCGGCAGGACTGACAGATAAAGCCAAGCTAAGGTAGGGGAGGAGCTGGAGGGGGCAGCAGGGTGAGGGTAGATCTGACAGTTGCTGGAGGAAAATACCCAGATACAACCGACTTGTCTAATTTCAAATTCATGATGACAAATTGCAAATGGACACTCAGGCAATTTTGCCTGAGGATATTCTCTAGTACATTCTCTTCCCCATGCTCTAGACAGCAATTTCACACCCTTGCTTCTCAAACCTCTCCATCGCATCTCCACGTAACTCCCAGCTGATAACCTTGACTCACCACCCCTCCAGGAGAAAATAGAAGCATGCACCTTCCCACACTGAAGCCATCCACAGACCTGCACGTGTCCTGAAGTCCTTGACTTCCTTGTTGGCGTGCACAGCACCCCCAGCTGCAGTCGTTGGCCAACCCTTGCATTTGGCCTCTACGAAGCCGTCCCCTCGTATCCCCCAGGGCCTCATCCTGCAGACGCCAGCTCTTTCTCCCACAGCATAATGTCTTCCTCTCTCTGAAATCATTCTTATCACATTAGCATGGTCTACATCTCCCAGCAGTAAAATGGAATCATCCCTTTTGCCCACAGCACCGCCATCCGGCTCCGTTTATCTGCTTCTCTTCTCAGCATCAGGGATTTCTGCGGCCCTGGCCACCACTCTCTCGCCTCCTCCTGCAGCCCGCACCACATGAACTTTCACGCCCCGCTCCTCCCTGCTGGCCCTCGTCAGTGCCGCCACTGGGCTCCATGTTGCCCAGTTCTGTGGTCACTTCTTAGGCTTCATTTGACTTTACCTCTTGGCAGCCTTCAACAGAGGCGACTCCACTTTCAGGGCACGACTCTGCTGGTTTCTTGTTTTCTCCTCCTCCTCCCCTGGGCCTTGACATGACCATTTCCCCTTCTCTCTCTGCCCTTTTTCCTAAGGGACTGCATTATTGCTGTTGCTTTAAGTACCATTTCTATCCTCAGTTCTTGCCCTTTTCTGGAATTACAGACTCCCGTTTCCTATTCCATGTTAACATCCTCCCCACAGAAGCATCTCAAATATAGTCTAACCAAAATAAAATTTGTCATCACTCAATGCTTCTATTTTTCTCGTTCGTAGCAATTAGCCCTAATTTCTTAATTCATTTTTTCATTTCTCAAGCCAAAAATGTGTCATCTTTGATGTCTCCCTTTACCTTATTACCCCTCTTACACCTAAGTGCTCAGAAGCACCTGAATACTGTGACTTGAAAATATGTTTTAAACATGTCCATTTTCCTTTATTGTCAATAATAATGTTAGTAGTAATGACACAGTATGTGTCGAGTGCTTACTGTCTGCTGGGAAGAAGGGAGAGGAAGGGGAGGTTGGAGCAGAACAATGGTGATGTCTGTGAGGTCAGAAGGAGGAGTAATGAAAGGGAAACCTGGGGAAGGGGGAAGATAAGAAAGAGGCTGGAGAGAGAAACCCTATAAATACTCCTCAGGGGACCCATTAAATGGTT